TAAATATCGCCTTATCCCCACGCCGTACCCTTGCGAGATACCATCGTACGAATCTCGTGCGCCCTGATCTTCTCGGCCCACTCGAGCGCATGAGGGAGTACTCAGATCTGTACTCGGGTGTACAAAAACTCTGGTCGCAAAACCTTTTCTTTTTATTTTATTATTTTTTAAACCCATGAAAAAGTGTGAATAGTCGTGTTGGGACGCAAGCAAGCACGGATGGATCACTGCATCCTATCCTTTTTTTTTTTTTTACCTCGAATTTCTAAGAAACTAATTACACAAACATACGTTCCAAGTGTCACTATTTGTGAACTGGGGAATAAAAAAAAAAGGGTACTTGAGGCCCCAGCTCAACGGATAAATAAAAGGGGTTAGAATTTGGGAAATTTCCATCTGACTTTGTACCGCGGCGCGGCGCTAGAGTTCGGTCAAAAGAAAGAATGGGAAAATATGTAGTACTACGCGACCGAGTATCAATTCCGCGGCACGCTGCCATGACTTGCCAACGGCTGGCTAAACAAGACGCGATCTTAGGCAGGGCTGGGGTGAAGACGATCGCAAGGAGACAAGAATATCAAAGGAGGACTTATTGCCCAGCCTTGCTATTCTTGCCAACGCTTCGACTATTTGGATATCAGATATATTGAATGGGGGATCATCATATACATGAGTATCATTTGTCCAATTAGGTTAAAGCAAGCAAAAGAACGTGAATGCAGTAGATATATACGTACTGTGGAGTGATATACTTGGGACGCAAACAGACTGTGCTGCTACTAATAGATACTAGAAGAGGGCTAATGAATTGCTTTTTCCAGTACTCTGCGTGAGAGGGGCAATCTGGCTGAAATTCAATTTAGGGTTTACTGCCACATCATGTCAAACGTGGCGAGTTTTCCTAGGCGAAAATAATATGTACAATGCTTGCTGAGCTGCGCTGAATAAGAAAAATTGCAAAAAGCTGAACAAAGCCCAAAAAGCCCCCTAGAGTGTTCCCGCCCATGCATGTCTGACACCTTTTCCCTTTTCCCCCTCCTGTAAAAAGGTCCGTTTCTATGGCATACTCTCACCTAGTAGGGCCCGGATGTTGGAACCTTTGGCCGTTGCCAACTTGATCGTTTATTATGCATCGACGTTTTCTTCATTGGTTTTTCTTTGCCTTTGCGAAATTCCCACCGGCGTAAAATCTCAAGTAGTCTACTACTAATAGTTCGCGCCCTCGCGCATCTCTTCGGGAGTAATGGCTCCGTGCGAGTTCAGTTAGTGGTGTCTGTTCTCCATTCCCCTTCTCTACTACACAGTACACGCAAGTACCCTCTGTGGACTTGGTCGCTCTCTGGCTTTAAGACGGTCATGATTGCTCGTAACCTTGGCAGGGCAGGGGGGAACCACAATGATACCACGTACAGATAAACTGCACCTTTTGTTGCTGCGCTTCATCGGACGAACCCAGATCTCGGATCGTCTGTGGCCTAGTGAACATCGATGGTGCTGTTTTACGTTCTACGGAGGACGTTCCGCGGTCGAATGAATGAGCAGTGGAGTCGGCTCGCACGGATTGGGCGGATTCTTGAGACATGGGGACGACTAGCATTGAGATAGGTCAAAACTAGATGACGATGGGGCCCGACCGAGATGCCGGGTCCGCGTGTAAGTGTTGCGCAAAAAGGACATTCGGCTCCGGGACAATTGAATTCTCGAGCTTGCGAGCTAACTACATGAATTAGCTACGTATATTCCAAGGAGACTTGAATCGTAGTAGTTCCAAAATCCGAATTGCTAGTCTGGGGGGCCATGCCTTGAGGCGGGGACGATTAGGAACAAAATAGTAAGTAGATCGATCGATATTTCACTAGCGGCTCGCAAGCAAAGCATGTGTCCTCCCGCTGTGAGATCTGCAGCATCCAGACCTGCTCAGGCCTTTCTTGCCGTCGAGGACGAGAAGGTTGGGCCGCGAAGGAGGGCAGTGACGTCGTAGGAGAGATGCCATCGGCCGGAGGCAAGTTGCGGCGAATGGGGACATAATAGGCTGATGTAGCACCAGCAACGGGCTGCGTTTGGTATTGGAATAGTCTGACACCCTCAGGAAAGAACATCAACGGCCCAAAGGAAAACCCAGAAGCATGCCAGACACGACTCCAGTTAGCCAGTCCTCTGGTTCCGAGATGGCTCAGCCTAACATTCAGGGGAAAGAGGAAACATCCTAGACAAGATGAGATCACCTAGCAATTGTGGCCCTTGAACAGAGTTGGCATGAGTAATTCTTACCACCCAGGCAGAGTTATGGTAAGATGGTTTCCTTTGACTACGGGATGGCGGGTGGTGATTTAGTTGCCGTCTATGCCTCGTAGGGATAGCTAGAGGCTGCTACTAGAGGATCATCGTAGATCCGCGTTTCCATTTCAGCCCTCGAAAGGCGACGATCAGGCCAAAAGAATAAAATGACAACATACCATGGTACAAATCCCGATCGTCTAACGCGGAATGTTCAGCCCACACTACTAGGCCAATGCCAGCAAGATGAATTTAGCAATTGAGCCAGCACCAGCAAACACCGAGCCGTTGTCTTTCTCACTTGCGAGCTGGATGGAGCCTGTAGACACCCCCCAATTCCATCCTTGTTGGAAGGTTTGGCTTGAATTGAGGCGGAATTATAGTACAGTCAGGCGGCAGTACGTACTCGAGTACCCGGCCAAGCTTGCTCAAGCCAGCTCGACTCAACCCCTGCGGCATTGGCTTGCCCACTACCACTTGACTATAGTAGTATTCAGCATAGTGTCGATTCGCGCAGATGCAATGGCGCAAACTCTATTTTGAAGCCAATCGCCATGCTGGGATGTCCCGGCCGCATCCACGCCCATGTCTGCAATCTACGGGATGCGGGTCTCTCGTCTGCCAAAGAAGAAGAAATCCCAGCCGCGGTTGGATGGTGCGCGCGTGTCAATTGTAGGTTGGACGGCTTGGGGGGCCGGTTCAATGAAAAGGGCAAATCGTGATCTGGGCTCAACCTACCTACTGCCAGTGAGCTTGATGTCAAGGACGCATTCGCGAGTCCTTGCCGGATTGTTCATCCTTGAAGTGGTTGACCGCGTCATGCCCTGTCCTGTGTTTTCTCTATCTGACAGGCGCCGCCTCCAGTGCCGGGCATCATCATGGTTGCGCCCAAACATCGATAGTGAGAGACCGCGCACTGTTGGCCATACTAATATGGATGAGCCGGGAAGCCGGTCGCTTCTAGGGACGCCCAGGTTCGGGCCTCGTATTGAGCGCGAGTGACGAAAAAGACATTCGTGAGTCGTCCTTTACTGCCGGAGGGATGGGGAATGACACCAAAGGGATAAGTGTCATCTCTCGCCTTCTTCCGCGATTACTCTCCACGTGGCGCGCGACATGGGCTGTATGTCTGCCA